AACATTCATGGCATTTCCATCTTCGCCCATTTGGTTTTTTCAGTTCTTTTGAAAATTCGTCGAAGTCCTTCGTTTCTAAACGACTACACTTCACATAATACCATTTGTTACATGCCCCTTTACATTCTATAGCACTCTGATTAGATTTAACATTTAAATTGCAGCTTCCACAAGGATACTGATTAGATGATCCAGCACTAATCTTGTCTTGGTTAGTTACAATGAATGAATTTATTTTATTTTTGGTTTTACCACTACACGGGTATTTTAATGGGAGGTATCCATCTTCATCCTCTGATGAATCCTGATCGTCTGATGGTTTTGAAATAGCTATTGATTTTTTTCTTCCCATATTGAATTAGTAATAATGTTTGACAATTTATGTCAGTTGATACCTTCTGCTAAGTTTTTTTCTTGATTTATCCTGTTTCTTATGATTATTCTTCTTGGCGTAGTTCACGTTCACTTTAAATTTCCTTATATCAATATTTTGAAAATATATTCGATTTTTTTCCCCTGGATATCGAGGGATTTGCGACCCTGCTGCTGAATCTCTTCGTATCCATGTGGTTTATGAGTTGACCAGATATTGGTGTTTTTTTCGATTATAAACACCGGCGGTGGTAAACGATGCCTCGTCAGTCCATAAAACCTTCTTGAAAAAATCATCATCCTAGTCTTTTCTCAGCATCATTTCTGTGCAATATGCTTGTCTTGCAATTTTATGATTGTCTGTAAGCTTCTGCACAGTCATAATTTTAAATGGGTGATATCCGTGTTCATGTAGGACATTTGAAATTTTTTTAGTAGGTACTTTCGCCAATATGATTAGATGCATCTGTTTAATACTCAATATGTATTAGAAATAATTATAATAATAAATCAATATGATATAACTTCATTGACAACTTTATTATTTCTGACATAAACATCAATGTCCTAACAATCATATCACTAAGAATACAGGATGATATATATTCCGAACACCTTCCTTTTTGAGAAATCATTATAACAAACTAGCTCAAAGATTAAGGCGTCTGGGAGACCTGATTCTTCTACCGAATCTAGATATTCTTTGATTCTCTAAGTTAGGTACTGGAGTGTCATTATCGTCATGCAATGGTGTACGAACTACATTCCGAAAATTGTCCTGAATGTTCCGAGGAACGTTACCATGGTCGGATAAATGGTCAAAATCTAATTCAGGTGGTAGTTGTTCCCTATCCTGATAACTGGGCTTGGTTCTAGATGGCTTTATGTGAATTATATTTCTGCGCACTATCTTATTGTTACTGTGTTTCCGAACCCAATATGATCTCGGTTCATTCGCTTTTTCAAGAATGGTCCCCTTTTGCCAATACTTTTCTTTATTCGTTTTTATCACTACATCATCTCCTTTTTCATAATCAATAGGTAATCTACGTGCACGTTCAGCGAATATTTTAATAGTTTAAGTCTGAGACGCTGTAGCCTGACTGAACCTATTTTGCAAATTGATTTTTTCATTATTGATACAATTGGTTTATGATCCGATTGAACATCTATCTCATGACTATAAATATAATTGTGAAATTTCGTAGTTGCAAAATATATTGCCAGCATTTCCTTCTCTGTTTGACTGTAATTGATTTCTGCATCATTCATTGTACGAGAAGCGCAAGATACTAACCTTAGCGATTGATTCTCATAGACTTGAAATAGACAGCATCCTATTGAACTTTTTGATGCATCACATTGCAGAATGATTTTCTTATCAGGGTCAAACGGTACAAGGGCGGGGGGTTTAGTAATAATATTTTTTATGTCATCAAAAGCTTTATCGTGAGATGGAAGCCACTGCCACTCAACATTTTTCTTCAAGAGCTGAAATAACGGTTGCATATATTTAGTCATATCAGGTATATACTGTCTGACGTAATTGAAAGAACCGATGATGCGTTGCAATTCTTTTTTATCTTTCGGGGTTTTCAACTTGACCAATGACTCAATGCGATCTGGGTCAACTTCCATTCCCTTATACGAAAAGATTTGTCCCATAAATTTAACTTGTTTTTGTTTATATTGGACTTTCTCTTTATTAAACCGTGCATTGATTTTTCTAGCTGTCTCGATAACCTCATTTACTGCCCTATCATGTTCTAGTTCTGTTCTGCCTGATATAATCATGTCATCATGACATATTTCTACATTTTTAATGTTCCCAAAATGCCTATCTACCTGTTCGTGAAACAGATCTTGAGAGTTGGATAACCCATATGGTAAAACTACATATCTATAAATTCCAAAAGGAGTTGCGAAACAACATTTCCAAGATGATCCCTCTGTTAGTCGTAACTGATGATATCCCTCAGACAAATCGAAAACGGAGAAAAATTTTTTACCTATCAGACTTTTACTAATTTCTTGTGGTATTTTTGACAAAATTGGTTTTCTTATAATTTGTTTGTTCAAGTCAGATGGATCAAGACACAACCTTATTTTACCGTTTGCCTTTTCCGTGATGACCATGCGATTAATACTTGCACAAGGATCAATATCATTTACTTTAACCAAAGCTTTTCTTTTAACTAATCTATCTAATTCATCTTTCAATGGTTGTCTAATAGCAAGAGGTATTCGTACAGGAGGGTAACTGACACTTTCAAAATTTTCGACAGTAGTTATCTTATACTTACCTGGAAACTGACCTGAGCCTTCAAAAACATCAGCATTTTGTTTTATGAAAACTTCTTTTTCGTTATCGATATTTTTCCCAATGATATTCACCCTTTTGATCAGTTTCATATTCAAACATGCTTTCCCACCTAATAGGACTTGATTCGCTCCATCTACGATCATAAAATCTTCATATATAGATGTGCTTTTATATTTGCAGCATAAATTCACAATACCAATCGGTTTTGCCACAGAACCTTCAAAACCTTTCAGAATATAGTTTGTAGACCTAACATTGAAACTATTATTTACCTTTTTGAAAATTCTCAAAGGCATGACACTAACGTCAGCTCCAGTATCTATCTTTACGTGCATTTTTCTATTTTCAACCTGAATAATCTCATCCCAGAGACCCTGTGTACAAGTTGAATTATTTGAACGGATATTTTCTATACTTTGGACGAATATACTGTCATCAGAGCTGTCAGATTCTGAATGTTGATCTACATTTTTTACATTTTTAACCCGACATGATATTTCGAAATGATTCAGTAATCCGCATCTTTTACATTTTTGACCATACGCTGGACATTCTCTGGGACCATGCATAGTCTGACAACGGCTACATTTGAAGTGATCGCGAATACTATTGTTTTCAGATCTACGACTCCTTTCAGTCTTACCCACTGTTCTATTCTTCTTCCTCACAGCGTTAACTTCTGATGTATCTTCCTCTCGTCGTTGCTCGAATTGTTCATTCTGACTTTTACACTGCTCGCTAGTAATACAGAAGTTCACTGCTTTTTCCAAAGTTAATTTTTCAACCCGTAACAGAGCTTCTCGGGTATTGGAGTCTCTTATCCCCATCAAAATTTTATCTCTGAGTGCTTTTTCTTCTGCAGATTCTCCTGGATCCACAACGTTGTAATTGCATGTTTTAATCAATTTCTTGCAATCAGTGAGAAAACTTTTGAAAGATTCACCTTCCTTCTGTGTCCTCTTCAGAAAATTATACCTCTCATAAACTTCATTCATCCGTGGATTCACATATTTTCCAATTTCTTGCATTAAATAACTATAATCTCCAATGTGATCTTGTGGAATGGCGAAAGTTGATATTATTTTTGCAGCTTCAGTTCCCATCAAATTTCTGAGGATAGATATTTTCACCCGGTCAGCAGATTCATGCTGCCCTGTAGCTACAAGATAATCTTCGAATGCTGTTTTCCAGAATATCCATTCATTTGCAGCATTCCTTCCTTGCAGATCAAAATCAGGCGGTAGCTTTACCTGTGCTCCTCCCAAGTTAGACATTTGAACAAATTTTCGAAAAATATGTCACCAAACTTATCTCCACCGCTCAAGCCAACAATTTAAATTTATTGTTCACTCGACTGCGCCATGTTTAATACTCAATATGTATTAGAAATAATTATAATAATAAATCAATATGATATAACTTCATTGACAACTTTATTATTTCTGACATAAACATCAATGTCCTAACAATCATATCACTAAGAATACAGGATGATATATATTCCGAACAGCATCCATAGTGGAATAAGTGGAATTTTCTAAAAATAATTATATTTTTCATGAACACGAATATTTACTTCATATGTTTGTTCTACCTTGGAAATAAAGCAATATTTCCGATTCTCCATCTTCATCAGCAATGACAGTGCGCCTTTTTCTTTGAAGATTTTTTCGTTCTCTCATACTCCTCGCAGTGGAATAAAACGTACTTCTGGAAGGAACTGGCATTCCAGGATGAATGCGTTGATACTCCGCTCGAGCTTCCACTGCATTATTTTTATTTTTGTAGGATAAACGAATCATTTCAAACTTTTCATCTTCACTGAAACCGAAACCGAAATTCTATGCAATAAACATATATGACAGAACGTTTTATTGATGACAACTTGCGTATGTTGTGTTGAATTTTCTTTATGGCAATTGCGATTTGGTGAAATCAAATCAAAACTAAATCTTAAATGTTCAACCGCGAATATCTCGAAAACGGCTGAACCAAATGTCAATGACCAATATAATTTTGGAATCAGGAAGAAAAGATCTTGAATTTTTTCGAAAAAAATATATAGGGTGTTTCATTGAAAATAACGGTAATTGGTACCCATTTCTTATATCAGCGATATTAATTTGTTTCATCTGGTATAATTTTCTGGAGGTTCAGTACAAACCCTACAACTTTTGCATCCGGAATTTTTCTCTATCTTCAATGATAAACCCTGTAGAAGCTGTTTGAATATACGGAATGATCCTGTACCTATGTAACGATTGAATTAACAATCTGTAGGTACTATAATGACGTCTCGTTACAGGTTCAAGTGTCCCAACGGGCATCCCTACATCATCACGGAATGCGGGGGAGCCATGCAGGAGTACACTTGTCCAGAGGCGGGGTGCGGAGAGAAAATCGGGGGCACGCATCATACGTTAATCGGTACTAATCAGCTGGCTTCGGAGATGGACGGGGCTAGGTTTGCCGCTTGGTCAAATATGGCGAATAATTTGGGAAATTACGATATACCGATGTAGAGAAGATTTCACCGCGTTTTATTGGATATGAGATTTGTTGATTTAATGTTTTTCTTGTGTACTTGCATGAACATGTTTGTTTTTTGAGATCAATAATTATTATTATTTCCATCATTATTATATATATATCAGTGCATCAGAACGAGATGTCCTCGAACTAGTCGACCAGCTCACAATTTAACAGATACATACGATGGATAGTCAAGTATCCAACTGGACTACCCTGCATCGATTCGTCCCCACTTTGTAGCTAAAACGCTTGGAAGCAGGCGCACTGTCCAGTGCTCAGTCAGTATGAAAATGTTATGTTGAAGACCCAGCTGCAAATTTTGAACGTCATCTGAGAAAAAAATGATATATGTCCCAAAGGCAAGTTTAAACAATGTAGTTCATCGATCGGCACCTGTGTCAATCGCTATCCTGAGAAAAATGATTGAATCATTGCACTTTCCACTGCGGGAATTTGTACTTGATTTCGCGATTTGATAATGAGAAAAGAAGTATGCTATCCGATCGTAGATCTCAAAAACCTACCTGTGCCACGCCTCAGCCTGAGCCAAATCCACGGCACAGCGATTTATTTTCTGCTATTATAGCAGACATACTACCGTCATATCATAACGAGTTGAAGCAAAAAGGAAATGTCCCCCTTGCGAATATCCAAACGTGCTGCGATTAGACCTGATCTAGATTAGTGACAGAGCGTCAATATTTCCAAGAATATTTCACCCTCGTCGACAGATAATATTCGATGGACCAATGTAAAACTCATGTGGTGCTAGCACTACAAGTATTCTGATGTACATGTTGAGTTTTACACCGGTCCATCGGAAATTATCTTTAGAGAGGAGCGAAATATTTTCGGAAATATTGACGCTCGCTTTGTCACTAACTTAGATCAGTTTGAATAGCAGCATGTTTGTATATTCGCAAAATGAACAGTATTCCCCTTTATTTTCTTCTTGTTTCAACTCGTTATCACAAGACGGAAGTTTGTCCGGAATTATGGCAGCAAATAAATCGTTGTGCCGTGGATTTGATTCACATTGAGGGGGTGGTTGGTTTTTGAGAGCTACCATCCAATTGGTATCGGATGGCATAATTCTTATCTCGTTATCAAAATCGCGAAATTTAGTGCAAATCAGCGTACAAGGAATTGCAAATTTTCATTCATTTTGCTCAGGGCAGTGATTGGCACAGATGCCGTTCGATGAAATACAATGATTTTACATGCCTTTGGGCAGTATATACCATTTCGTTATAAGATAATGATCGAAATTTGCAGTCGGTTTTTGGACTTGGCCAGTTGATGTGAATGACAGTCGCTGAAATTCATAGACAGAGTCGACAGAAGTCGCCGAGCGACTTTTTTTGGTGATTTAGCGACATTCTCGATCATCTATTTTCGGTTTTATGCCATTTTCTTGCTCGTCACAGAATCACATGAATAAATATCTTGAAAGAATTAATTAAACAATGAGAACACTAGATTTCTGTTATGTTGCATCATCTTCATGGGAAAAAAAAGCTTTAAATAATGTGAAAAACGATCAAATTCGCAATTCGAGTTCGAATATTGCATTGTCCTACTATGAAAACGTCAGATTTGGAAACAAAATTGCTGAGACGGCAACACTGCACGTGAATTGGTGATCGAGCCAAACAGAGGGATAACAGTGGTACAGTTGAATAGTTGATCATCCATCGCGTACATATCTGTTGAACTTTATTGTGCTGTCGACTGGTTGGAGGAAAATAGTTCAAATGCATCGCAGATTGTTAATTTTATGCCAAAAATTTTACCTACTAATGTATGAACCGTTCTGGTAATGTGCCTGAAAGTTGTTTTTTGAAATGTTGTAATATATAATTTGCGTTCAGAACATACCGTTATTCATCCTACTTTCGTACGTAATACAACAAATGTATTGATGATTTTCCAAATATAAATCCCTTCGATTCTGAGAACCAAATTATGTGTGTGGTTACCAAAGAGCAGTTTCGAAAAAGAGTAGGGATTTTCGATAATCATCAATTTAACGAGTTTTCATTTGCAATCGGTTGTTGACAAGCAACTAGTTACAGGACGCACGCGTCTTCGTCATTGGCCGGAATCGCTCGCAAAATTCTATGCGTTCAGTCTCTAGACGCTACTGTCAAGTTATGAGAGGTTAGGTTTACATAAAAAATGTTTTTTTGAAATGCCGATCGTACTAAAATTCTTCGTTACAAATTGAAATTCAGTGCCTATCACCATTTTGTATGAACTTTAGTGGTGAGTGCTATTTATCCCTTAATATGAAAATATGACATCCTGCTACATGTAAGTATTTTCTATGTCATTTTGTTTTATATTTGATCAAACTACCAAAGTAGGTAGCCATGTAGGTTATCCAGTGGCTATACTCAACAGCCGAAATACAAAAACGAACAGATTATGTTTTCTATTATCAACACAGATATATCAACCAATCAAAAACGTGTATTTTGAAATGAGTAGCCGCGCTGACGCAGTTTGGCAACACTGTCCGAGAGTCATTTCGCTGGCTATTCGCACATATATATACGATACGTGGCTTGTGAATTTGAAGAGGAAATTCCTCAATACAACATGTCCATTGAATATTCCCATTTCGTCTATTATACAGGGTGTTTCCTAACTACGCTTCCTAACTGCAGGTGGTGATTCGTTACGTCATTTCAGGAAGAAAAGTTCCTATGAACGTATGTCCGGAGTTGCTTCGTTTCTGAGATACAGGGCGATGAAATTGAAGAAAAAAAATGGTAATTAGAAAATATCATGAATATCCTGGAACCGATTCGGTTGAAATTTGGTACTTTTATTTGAACTGATAAGGCGCTTATTTAGCCCTATTTAGATTGAGATTATTGGGGCTAGTCGCGTCTTAGTGGGCACCACAGCCAACAATATTGTGAAAAAAAGTACGCCACTGACTTTTTTGATGAATTTAAATTTTTTTTTTAATTGAGCAACTCAAAATACAACTTTTTGGTCTCCTGTATTTTCTTCATATCCAGCTTCGTTTCCGAGAAAAAAAAATTAAAGCCACTGTATTATTGCATATCATGAACACCTGCATTGGAGAAATGAGTTTAACATTATTTCCGCCAAAAATATAATTGACACTTGATATGCTGAAATTTTAGAGAATTTGACAAATAAAAGTATCAAATTTCAACCAAATCGGTTCCAGGATATTCATGATATTTAATAATTACCGTTTTTTTCTTCTTTAATTTCAACGCCCTGTATCTCCGAAACGAAGCTACTCCGGACATATGTTCATAGGAACTTTTCTTCTGAAAATGACCTAACAAATCACCCCCTGCAGTTAGAAACCGTAGTTAGGAAACACCTTGTATGTCCAAAGGTGCCCATGGATACATTTTGGACAAAATAGGATGTCCACATGAAGATATCCACTGGATGTCTAGGTAAACCATATGGTGTGCGTTCCATGCACACTCTGATAATGTTACTCGATTTAACATAATCGTCTCGGGTAGCATCGACGTCGTTTGGCTCTTCCGGTGACCACAGGACGTCCGCCATTGTTATATTGTTGTTAACGACGTCAACGCATTGCTAAATGTCTGAGACTGCTGAGACAATATGTTTGTATAGAACTCTGAGGATTTTCAGATAGTCCGTGTATTAAGTGACATATTATTGTCATCATAATCTGTTCCTTAATATTTGTGTGTGAACGACCAGTTGCTTGTATTTGATCGTGTTGCCATTTCTGTCGTAGAATATATAAATAGATCTCTTGAAGTGAAGAGCTTTTCCAGGATGTGTTGATGAAGATGTTGAAGAATTTCAACCCAGGCAACCAGATGTCGTTTCAGTGACGTCTTTTTGCGTTAGTAAAATGACCAAGGTGACGTCAGGAGTTGACGTCGTATGACGTGATTATGACGTGAATAAGTCACAGCCCAATGACGTCATATTATACTCACGTTTATTGACGTCATTCACTCACCAAACTGTGACGTCGAAATGACGTTGAAATTTGGTGATGACACGTAAAAAAGTTTTCTCAAACATGGTGTGATTCATCACTGACCTCTGATGACATAATATTGATTATGCATTGTTGAGTCTGCTTGGTGGTCCCTCCGGTGTCATGTCCAAACAATCGTCTATTCAGCATCAGCGCTATCCCTCGGTACGCATCTCAATCATCAGAATGGAATCAGTTACTCGTATTTGTATATGAAATTATGTAGTTTGTGTCAGCGAGATATAAGCAAACCACGAATGGTTTGATAGCAATGAAAAGGATGTTGGCGAATTGAACTTCATTTTCTTGGGTAACGTATATTCATGCATTATTTGTCACCCAAAAAAATCTAAATAGCAAATTATTGAGAAATTTTCTGAATGACAAAGCTCACCAAATTGGTACGTCACACCGACATGATTTTTAGACGTCATAGATACATCACTGCAACGTCATAAAAGTGACGGTTTCAATACAGATACACCTATATTTTCATTTGTATTTATACATATATACTATATAGCTTGATTGGTTTCCGAATTATACAGGGTGTCGAAATTTAGAAAAGCTCTCTTATTTTTTCGGTATATATAATTCCAATAAAACTTGCATGTTGATTTGTTTTGATGAGTTATACTTCTATCGACGTTAGAATGCATATATATATATATATATATATATATATATATAAAATTACCAAGACGTACATGTTTCTATATATGTGTAAAACTGATGAAGAACCGATTTTTTTCAACAACTTTTCGACATCGAAAATGCCCATCCTGTATATATAGGTACGTCACAAACCTAACGGTCGTTTCACATGATAGTGCAAGTAAAAATGGTTCAGATATGGTCTAGGAAACATGGACGTCGACAGGACGTCCCTGCAACGTAATAAAACTGGCGTCTTATTTTATCCTTCCATGTGAAGTTCATTCGACGTCGATGATGACGTGATTATCACGTCATAGA